GTGAATTTCCTTGGGATTATGCATGAACTGGCTGATGACGCTTACTGAATATGCTATATCTAGCCGAGTGTGAGTAGGGTAGATGAGCTTCCCAACTAACCTTTGATACATTTCTCTGTCTACTGCTCGATCTTCAATAGCTTCTCCAAGCTTATGATTTGCCTCTATAAGTGTTGCGGCCGGCTTGCTTGCGAGCATTCCGGTTTCTCTGATCGGTGACATACTTTTGTTATGAGATGAATGTGCCTTGTCTGGAATGCGCGACCTCAATCCCAAGAAAGTATTTCAACCTCCCCAAATCTTTAATCTCAAATTCTTTGATTAAACATTATTTTAGGACTTGCTGCTCCTTATCATTCCCGGTTACAATAATGTCGTCTACATAGACTACTGTGACTCCCCCTGACTCTGAGTGCTTGATGAAGAGGGTGTGGTCTCCCTAACTTTGCTTGTATCCAGTGGCTAAGATTACCTTGGTAAACCTTCCAAAAGAGGCACGGGGTGATTGTTTCAATCTATACAAAGCTTTCCTTAACTTGCATACTTTGTCCATTTCAACTCCTTCAAACCCGGGTGGGATGCTCATAGAGATTTCCTCTTCTAAGTCCCCATGAAGGAAGGCATTCTTCACATCGTAGTGTTGTAAGTTTCAATTAAAACTGACAGCTAGTGATAGTAAGATCCTGACGGTGTTCATCTTTGCAACTGGCGCGAAGGTCTCTTGACTTGCCTTTGCCAAATCTCACACTATCAAGGGCCGGATTTGTAGGTGGGTTTACAGGAGGCTCAGGATTTGAATTTTCAGTGGGCTCGGTGGGAGGAACATTTTCAGTAGGCTCGGTAGAAACATCCATGGGACTAGGCTGTCTTGACACAGGAAGTGGGGAAGATGGCAGATCAAGAAGCAAAAAATCTGCCTTATCCTTATCTTCCATTATTGAATTCTCCCCCTGAAGATAAGGAACAATGAAATAGGATTCTTGTTCATGGAAGGTCACATCAGCTGAGATATAGAACCTTTTTGATGGGGAATAATAGCACTTGGATCTAATTTTTCCCGATTCTGACAATGAACATGAACAAATGCCACACACCCAAATATGCGAGGAACAAGATTATTTGTGGTGTGTAGGTTTGGATAGAACTTGGAAAGGACATCCATTGGACTTTTAAATCCTAGGACTCTAGAAGGCAAACGATTTATGATATGGGCGGCTGTAAGAACCGCTTCTCCCCAAAAAGATTTAGGCACATTTTTTTTGAAACAAGAAGGATCTTGTTGAATCGAGGAGATGACCATTTTTCCGTTATGCTACTCCATTTTGTTGTGGAGTGCTCACATAAAAGGACTCATGTACTATTCCTGTTTTCTGGAAGTATGGAGTTAGGACTTGATTGAAATAGTCCTTAGCATTATCTGACCTAAATCTTTTGATATTGACCCCAAATTGAGTCTTTATCATAGAACAAAAATTTGGAAGAATAGTGCTAACATCGGATTTCTGTTTAAGCAAAAAGATCCAGGTAACTCGAGTATAATCATCAATGAACGACAAACTATTTAGCTCCATTTACATTGGAAATAGTGGAAGGGCCCCAAATATCACTGTGAATAAGATCAAAAGGAATGGAACTTCTTTTATTACTAATTGGAAAAGATACACGTTTGTGTTTAGCAAGTTCACACACTTCACAATGAAAATGTTCAACCTCTAGACCCTTAAATAAAGAAGGAAACAAAAGTTTAATAATCCTAAATGATGCATGTCCAAGTCTGCAATGATGAAGTCAGACTTTTTCTTTATTGGATGAAAAAGACTCTGAGACAGGAGAATGAGATGTTATGCCCTTGGTAGTGTTGGATTGACTTGGTGTTTCGAGATAGTAGAGCCCATCCCGTTCTCTAGCATGTCCAATCGTCCTCCCCGAATCCTTATCCTAAAATATACAATAACTATGATTAAAAATCACTTTACAGTGCAAATCTTTAGTGAGCTTTTGGATGGAAACAAGATTTGTGGTTAGCCTAGGGACGTGAAGAACATTTTTTAACAACAGCGACGGGCTTATCTTGACATCACCTATGCCTACCACAGGAGTTAATGATCCATCGGTTGTGACTATTTTCCTATTACTTGGACACGGGGTATATGAGGAAATTTTTTTTGATGAATGGGTCATATGGTCGGTAGCTCTCGAGTCAATATCCAGGAGCTGGTAAAGGCTATATCTGAGACATTTAATCCAATGGAGAAGGGAAGTTTACTTGAATACGCTAGTGAACAAGTACCTGATGGTTTTTCAAGATTGCCAATAAGTGATCTCACCCTATCAATTTCTTCTTGGCTGAGATTTCCCATCTCTTGTGATGTCCCTCCATGCGGCTGCACTGCTACAATCTGGGCTCGTCCATTGTTCCTCGGTTGCTCTCCTTTTTGTCCCCACTCGCGGCTTGGTGGTTTTCCATGCAATTTCCAACACCGCTCACGAGTATGACGTGCCTTCTTGCAGTAGGTACACCATAGTGTCTTTGTAGTCACGGTTTTGGGTCTTTGGCTGGCTGATCCTCCCATTCTCGACCGCCGGCACTTTTCAGCATTTGTGGCTGTCTTATTGCTGTTACTAGCAACTAAAGCCGAACTGTCAGTCCCCTTTGGTTTAAGCATCAATTCCCTTCTACTTTTTTTCTCCTCGGATGAGTGCCACCACTTCATTGAAACTTGGAACTTCCTGTTTGCCAAGAATCTGAATTCTAACTAAATCAAATTCTGGATCGAGTCCAATAAGAAAATCATAAACTCTATCTTGTTCAATAAACTCCTTCAAAATTGTTGCATCATCGAGACACTTGGTCTTAATCACCCTTTAATGATCAAGTTCTTGCCACAGAGCCTTCATTTGATTGGCATATTCAGTGACAATCCTATCTCCTTGTTTTGCAGCGATTGTCTTAACTTTGACTTTGTAGACTTGGGCAGCATCCTTTGCCTTGGAGTACGTTTCTTGAATTGCATCCCATACATCCTTGGCAGTGGCCAAGAACATACATGTATCGCTAATCTCTGGATTCATGGAGTTCCATGGCCATGCCATGATCATCGAATCCGCCTCATCCCACGCTCCAAATTGTGGATCTTCTGGTTTTGGCCCGGTCCCTAAGATGTGGCTGATTTTTCCTTTCCAGTTTAGCACAGTCCGGACAAGTTGGGACCATTTAAGATAGTTTTTTCCATTCAGCCTATATGCGGCATGAATGTTCTGCAATTCCCTAGCTTGAGGCCTAACGATTTCTGCATTCTCCGATTGTATCGTAGCTGTTGTTTCTGCCACCTTCGACATCCTCAATCAAAGCAAGCAGTCCCAAGGCAATTAAGGCCGGTTGAGTCAAGTAAAATATAAGCGATGAAGGTTGATACAATTCAGGCACTCTCTTACGAAAGCTTCCTGGCAGCAGTGGCGGCAGGGCAGGAAACAAGGGGGCAGTCCGTACAAATCCGTACAGTTATGTACAGCTCGTACAATTCCGTAGTTTTAGAAAACTCCTCGGCAACAGGACAAAAAAAGAAAAGAGAACCCTGCGATGAAGGCTAGGGTTTCCGTTCCCAGAAAAAGAGCCTAAGGCTCTCTGATACCATGTGGAAATTTGAGAGGAAAAATTGAAGGAATTGTATATTACATGACAATTACAACCGGTTTATATACAGGAGCCCTAGCCTATAGAAATGGCAATCACATCCCATAATATGTGGGATATCACACTAAAAAAGGAAACTAACCAAATCAACCTAATTCTAGGGAAACTAACTATTATATTCAAACTTTCCTAATTTAGTCTATACACGTGTAAAACACATTGTTCCACACTAACGGGAAATTGAAGCTCAAATTAATGGGAAATTGTGTATTATATTAGGTGAGCACCTAATTAACGCTCATGAACTTAACAAAGTGTGAAGAGCTTAGGTTTGAAAAATATTGAGATTTAAGATAAGTAAAGTCCTCACCTGCAACACAAGTGAAGTCTAACTTGAGTGCGCATTATTGTGTGAACTTGCCTATGTAAATGCTATTAATTTCTCTTAAGTTGTCGTTTATGGATTTCTTAAATGCACACCATAGGATGCATGTTATGTCGCTTTCAAATACTATTACATTATGAACTTTGAGATCACATGCAAACCTTGTTTATGATTATGGATATCCTTGTATGTGTGTATAACTTGTTCCTATAATTTGAACCATGATATATGATATGTGAATATGACTTTGCGTTATTTATGATGTTAATATAGTTCTAATTACATTGAAGATGACCTTATGAATTATGTTACATGAAATGCCTAATTTCTATGAATTTGGTTTGTTGTGTTTGAACAAGAGTTGATGCTTATAGTATTTAGGATAAACATTGGCATGGTAGGATGTGTATGATTTTTAGTTTCATTCTAGTGGTATTGGCGGTCCATTTGTGGACCTAAACCTTTATGATATGTTTTGTTATGAAATCCCAGGTTGTGATTACAGCAGTCGTCGTGGCTGTCGTGATTGAGATTTGAATACGAATGTTGAATTCCTTGAGTTTTGGCCTAGTAAGAAGGGATAAGCTCCGCATCAACCTACGTAATACTTTGTTTCTATAAGTGTGCCAATGGGCTGTTGACTTTGGTTTAAGAGATGTTGCGCACCCTTACATTTTATTTCAATCACTTTTACCTTTTTTGAGGACAAGTGTGATGAACGTTGGGAACTAATGGCATAATAGAATTAGAAATACAGTTATTTAATAATTGCCAAATATATACGTTCATAATGCACTTAATGCAATGATTATAAGACATTTTTGTTTCATGTCCCGTGCTTTGTCTTTTTATCCGTGATCCTTTCATATAATGTGATATTGGATGTTTTCGTTGTAGTAGATAAAAGAACAATTTTTATGCTGGAAAATTAGTGCTGTTATCCTTTAGTTTATCTCCTTTTTCTTTTATCCCTTTTTACAGGTCATCAGACATTTTGATGGTTGCAAGGCTGATCTGGTTGTGTGCGATGGTGCTCCTGATGGTGCGCTTAGTTGTTTTAAATTGCAGTGTATTACCTCTTTAGCAATAACTTCTACTTATGCTAACTTGCGTTTGTGCTGATCTATAGTTACTGGGCTTCATGACATGGATGAGTTCGTTCAATCACAACTCATACTAGCAGTAAGTTTTCTTGTTTCATACATTATACCAAGACCTGTTTTAGAATGGAACAAATTATTTTAATTCTGGAAGATAGTATTCCTTTTTAGGAATAGAAAAACATAGAATGCGCGTGTTTATTACTGTGACTCATTATTCAGTTTCTTTAACATAGATCTTCCATGTTACTAATACTATGTGGTGTATCCATTTTGTTTTAGTTGGCTTGCGGCAAGTTTCTATTGTCCCTGTCTATTTTGCTATTTCATATTTCGTTTTTACTGGTAGAAGACTAGAAGCTATAGATTGTAACTACAAAGCATATTGGATAAGTGACTACAAAGCATCAGCTCTCTAACCTAAAAATTATTCTGGAGTTCTATTGGATAAGTGATTCAAGGTCCTTTATGCTTATTATAAGCCGAAAATAGTTGGGATAAAATACTGACGTGGATGATCTTGCTTTACTTTTAAAGATTATTGACTTATAAGACGGTTAAAGAATGTTGCCCTCGTGATCTGAACCTAATTCCCCTTTATGTTTTGTTTCTTGGCGTGTATATATTTCTATGTACACTGTATTTTTTACTGAATATTTGTCAAGCTTATTGCTTATTTATTATTTTGTGGTTGTGGGTGCAATAGTTGTCAACAACGTTTTGAGTCTTGCTGAAGCAATATGAGATTGATAAAGTTGGTGGCTTTTTGATGCAGGGTTTAACAGTAGTTACTCATGTACTAAGAGAAGGTGGTCAATTTATTGCTAAAATATTTCGGGGAAAAGATACAAGTCTTCTATACTGTCAGGTAATTGAATTATTGCTGAAATTTCCAAATTTGTGTCCGAACTGAAAATAGATAATATGTGCAATGTTTTCAATATTAAGCTTGTGTATACCCCTCTTATAGCCTGGTTGTCTTTTTATAATTGCATACAAGGTTTTCAGGTTTATGTAGTTTTGATAGATCAGTATTCTCTGGACTTTTGAATTAGTAGGCAAGACTGTTCTGAGCCAAAGCTCATATTGTAGCAGAGTGTTCAGTTGATCATTTTCGGTGTTGTTAACATACCTTAGAAGTCTCATTTTATTTGTTTCTTTCAAGTTTTCCTCCTGAAAGGTTCAAGTGTTGTGTTGTTTGGAAAAGGCTCTATAGAGAACGATGACCATGATTACCTAGAATTCACTTCTTGATTTAGTTTCTTGTTGCAGCTGAAATTATTTTTCCCTACGGTGACTTTTGCAAAACCAAAAAGCAGCCGCAATTCCAGCATAGGTAACATACTGATTTCTTTTTCTTTTTCTCTACAGTTATATCCTTTGTTCTTTCAAGTTTTTTATGATTTCGGATCCAAAACATCTTGAATGGTTCTTTAAATTCCTAGCAAGGAATTTTGCCACCCCTTTACTGGGAAAATTGTCTGGCAAAGTTCCTGGCTCATTATGTTAAACTATTCTCCGTTAAGAAACCTTAGGCTGGGTCAGAATTGCCCGTTATAAATTATAATTCAGATTCCATGTTCAATATCCACCAGTTTGGTACAGAGGACATTGCTTCCATGGATTTTCTTAAAATTTCTAGGATGCCAGTGATATTGGTGACGTAGGATAGTCTACTTTCTATATTTATTCTTCTCCTTCCTCATCAGTTGGTTAGTGGTTGACTTGCTGTATTGAAAACTCTCTTATTTCATGTGTTATACAGAGGCATTTGCAGTTTGTGAGAATTATTCCCCTCCTGAAGGCTTTAACCCAAAAGATCTTCATCGCCTCCTAGAAAAGGTTGGAAGTCCCTCTGGAGGAGATGATTTAGGTAATACCGTCGTGCCCTAGCGAGTTTATAATCGGTATCTTTCAAGTACTAATTTCCTAAGCTTTATCTAGAACTTTATGTTATTTGGGTCATGAGCCCGAGGTTGAACCTTGGGATCTCCTGCATGATTACTGGTGGCTAACAGCTATGGTGACCCTTGGGGCTCAGCCCATCTCTTTTAAGTTCAATCTTGTGTTGGATCTTGGTTTTGTGCATTATTAGTTTTGAATTTCTGATTTTCAGAGGGTTGGTAAATAAATTCCTCCCTATTATCCAAACAACACCTTATGATTAATGTCATTACCTCTTTTGGTAACTTTTTGAGGCAGATTGTAGTAGTGCCTGGCTAGAAGGACCAAATAAGGTGTATATTCCGTTTCTAGCATGTGGGGACCTTAGTGGGTACGATTCCGACCGCTCATATCCGCTGCCCAAAGTTGCAGAAGGGACGTATCAGAGCTTGGATCCTGTACAGCCCCCAATTGCCCCTCCTTATAAGAGAGCTCTTGAGTTGAAGAAAGCTTCCAATCAGGGCATCCGAGAGCTTGAAAAGCTTTCATTAGATTCTTGATAATTCCATTTCTTTCATTCTTTTATAAAGGCCAGTAAATTTTAAATGATTGTATTGATTTACTACCGGATATGTCTTTATCCTATGATTGCTTTAGTACTTTTGAAAGAAACATTGCTCATTACATCCCTAGTGTTGCCAATTAAATCTTTTGATCATATTATGTAGTGTTTTGTGGCAGAGATTATTTATTCAGCTTTCAAATTATAGGCTTTCAAGATCAGCTAGGATAGAACAGTGGGATCTGCAATTATAAGTCTATTATTATGGTTCTTGTATTCTGATGCTAATTGTAGATTTTTAGCAAATTCGGCTATACAATTGGGTCAAAAGATTGGAACAAGGCATACATTGTTGTTTTCCTTACGCACGCACAAAAGGCTGTAGAATAATACCGTCACAAGATGAAAGATAAAATTATTGAGTCCGACATTTACGTGACAATTTTGTTGCGCTTGACACATTTATGATTGCATCATTCTAGATGATAAATAAGTTCTTGTTTTTGGTTTCTTATCTTTCTTATTATTTAATTTTTTATTTAGTTTTGGGTGAAAAAGAAAGTGAGAAATTGGCTAAGCCAACTGAGAGTGGTCCTGACAGTGACATTTCCTATGATTACAAGACATATGGTGGCACGACACTCCAGGGCCAGCCCAGCCTTGCTCAATATTCAAAAAGAACAGTCAGTATCTTTGAGTTGTCGGGTGGTGATATATCAAACAGGATCTTTTCTTTTCACATGTTTAAGAACCGTTATTTCTTGTTAACAATCTTTTTCTTTTCTTTCGTTCTTTCTTTGGGTACTTCTAAACATAAGTTCGTGCAAAATTATAAATTGTTAATGTCAGCTCATTTTATTTTATTCTTATGTTTTTGTCAATGGTTAAGCATTAATATGAAAGGAAGAACCTGCTTTGCGGTAATTAAAATCTTTGGTGAAACACTTTATGGAACTTCATTACCCAAATGGGTGAATCATATAGATATAGGTACCATAAGTACATAGGAGGATTATGAAAAACAAAGAAATAAACAGATGTATTTTTTACTTGCTTTCTAACATCATAAATCATAAACACAAATTTCCCTTTTCATATACATGACACCTACTAATCCACAAAACCCCTAAAGCTAGCAACTAGTAATTTGAAGAAACTGAATTTGTCCTCTTCAAAGAAGCAGAAGAATTCAAGAACTCAATACAATCTTCTAAGGCTTCAGCTCGATGAGAATCAATAGGATCTGATACTGAGCGACATCTTGTTAGATTGGAGGCCGAAACTTTACCTGATGACCTTCGCGTTGATACTAGACAAATTGCTCTTGCGACTTTAGCCTTAAGGCCGCGAAGAAATTCTATAGGGGAGTAGTATTTTGAGTCTTTGGGAAGCTTGAAACTCCACATTCTTGCGGCCACCCTTTTGTGCCCAGTACTAGTTTCCCTTGTTCGGATTGAAGCGCTGTGTTTGAGAAAGTCGCTCATCGGCTTGTCGTTGACATCGGGACTGAAACACACCCGTCTATCTTTCCTTGACATTTTTTTTTGGAAAATATTATTTGAGAGAAATTAACCCAATAATGAGATTTGGGATATATGATTAAGAAAATATTGGCAAGCCGTGTATTTCTGTTTGAGAGAATATATGGAAAGGCGAGGGTTTTGGAAATTGATGTTTATAAAAGAAGAGGCCGGGAAAATGTGAAAACACAGGAGAGGAAGGAAAATTTATATGGGAAGAGAAGACAGTTGGACCGGTGGTAGGGACTATTAATGATGAATTAATGTGTTGAAAAAGAGAAAAGAACGGAGGGATAAGAGAGAGAACTGTTTTCCTTACTGGGGAGAGAGAGAGAGAGAGAGAGAGAGAGATGGTATAATGTATATATAATATAGGCTGCAGGAGTGGTGTTATTGTAGAAAGTGTAAGCTTGTTTGACTGAATAGCAAAATAGTAAAGAATTTCGTTCACGCAATTACGTACAGGTACGTATTATTCGTATACGTGCATGAACCATGCATGCACAATATATGGCGTATTATACTCGTAATAATTCATCAATAAGTAATTTTTTTTTTATTTTGTAGCAATAGTATATTAAGGAAATATTTTATAAATTTTCATCTTTTATTTGTATTATGAAATCTCTTGATTTCAGTTTCGGGTAACTTTCCCGATCATGTAATTGTATTTGTAACACGATGCAGACACATTAGCGAATCAATTGTTAAACTGTTGCCTTCTCTTCTCTCTTATTTTCTTCTTTAGGAGGCGTTTTCGTTGGGAAACACTATACCACATCACAATTGAACAATCCGTATAGAAATTTGCTAGAATGTTTATATGTGACACTGAAAATAATACTATAAAAAAGAATATTTAATCACGCTCAACATTTATGTTATTTATGTTGCAATAAATTTTGTGCTTACCTCAAGCACTAGTACTGGACAGTGGGGGTATATTACGGAGATCAAGAGGAAAATTTTAACCGATCAGAAAAAGTTAATTTGAATAGGGAAATGCGTTTGGTCAAAAGGAAAAGAAAGTGTGGTGGAGCCACCAAGGGAAGAGAAGAAATAGCGGATGTAATACATGAGGTTTTAAAGAGAGACAAAAACCATTTGATACCCTTCTCATCAGGGCATCACTTTTTATGTTGTCGTTTAATTAGGTCCTACCCTCTCTCCTTTTTTTGGCCATCTTGCCAACTATATATTAATTCTGTTCAGAATCAAAATTCTCGAAATCATAGACCTGACTACTTCTGTTTTGGATCAAAGAAAGAGAGTATATGAAATAGAGAGAATCTGTTTGAATATGTTTGCGAGGGGCCGGTACGTGGGATTGGCGTGAATATTAGGGAATTCAACTTTTTTTTTTTTTTTTGGCCTTTGCTTTTGTTCGTCTCTTTTGCAGAAGAAATCGCTGTGAAAGATTCTGTATTCTGTAAGGGTTCTTTTTGACTAGAATGCTGCTCATTAAAAGCTTCTCAGTTCCCCATACTTGGAGTGCACTCTTGGTCAAGACCTTTTATATGGACTTTTCTTTTGTCCTCACGGTGGTGGAAGATCCTTCCAACGCAATACGTAGTTATAAAAAATAATAATTATTAAACGTAACATTAACGTTAGTGAATCATATAAAAATTATGATATTTCTCTCTAATATTGATGTTATGTTTAATAATTATCATGTTATATTTTTATAACTACATGTTATGTCGATGAGCGGTTCTTTTAAAAAAGACCAAAGAAAAAGCAGCATATATATATATATATATATACACACACACATACACATACATATACATATACTAGCTATAAGCGCTTGCATTTCTTACATTTTTCTTTTGAATGGAAAATCTAAAAATTTTCCTAATATTTAGTTGTACTTATTCATTCCTCTGTCAGAGTTTAGTTAAGGGAAAAAAAAAACTTTCATGGGGCATATATAAAAAGAAAAAAAAAAGGTAGTAAATTACTTTGAAAAGGTTGTATGATAAAAATGTTTAGGAAGGAATACCTTGAACAAAAAAAAAATTATTTGGAGAGAGCAATTAGGGAGAAACAACTGTGAGAGTTACTTTAAAAAAATGACTAAAAGAAAAAAATGTCTAAGCAATTGTGCATTTGACAAAATTTATTTTAACAAGAGTAAATTATAAAAGAAAAAAAAAAGTAGTAAAAAAGTGAGGAGGGAAAAAAAGGACCAAACGATATCAAGGACTAAAGATTAAAACAAAATACAAAAAACAGGCGAAAATAGAGGAAGATCCATTGGATAAAGAATTGTTGTTATATATATGTTGAAGATTAGTTATTTAGGTACATATAAAAAATATATTCGAGGTAGCTTTATCAAAAAAAAAGTTTAGATAGGAACATATATAAGAAGAAATTATTTGAACTGGATAATTAAAGAAAAAATAGTTATGAGATTTTATTAGAAAAGGGAAAAATAATACTGTATAGTGGAGAAATTGTAAGATAAATAAGGAGGAGAGAGAAAAAAACAAAAATTAGGGATTAAAGAAGTAAAGGAAAAAAAGGAAGAAAAAAAAAATCAGGAGCGTAAAAAAAATGTTTTACAAATAAAGGTTTAGGTGAGGAAGAAATTATTTGAACAGGATGATTAGGGAAAAAATATTTATAAGGATCACATTAAAAAGAAGGAGAAAAAAAATATATAGTGGGAAAAATGATCGGATTAAATAAACTGGAGAGAAAAAAAAATAAGTATGAGGAGGGACTAAAGAAGTAAAGAAAAAAAGAAAAGGACCCAAAGAAATAGAGGGAAGAAAATTAAAAAAATAAATCAAGAACGTTAAAAAAAAAAAAGTTTTGCCCACAAAAAACAGAGACGAAACATTTTGTTCCACTTAGGGGACGAAAAGTTTCGTCGCTAGCGGACAAAACCACGGAAGCGGCTATTTCCGCTTTTATATATGTATGGATATATACACATATACTTTTACATTTTACATTATGTATCTTTCGTGCGTGGTTAAGAAGACGTTTAGTTGATAGATTTAAAATTGTGATTTAGAATTATTCTTAATTTATGTGTATTTTTTATAAAAAAAAATTATAATGAATCACAAATTATAATTCAAATTATGGTATGAATTCTTAAACCAAACGCAGAGTGTTCATGCATAAATAAACTGCATATACATAAATTGAGTGCAAAATATGGAGATGGAGATAAAGTTATTTTTTCCTCGAACATAAAATAGTTTTTGGAAGGATGAATTTAAAAAGTCGGATATTTTGATGAGACGAAATGCACCATGAAATGACCTCTCACCGAAATAGGAAAATTGGGAAAGAAAAGAAAAGTTTAACTTAAAATACAATTATGAACTATTAATGGAATCAACCAATTTCAAGTGCATCCTTTCTAGTCATTGGACTTGATTGGTTATTTGAGAAGGAAAATGAAGCTTCAAACAGTGAATTTAAGAGGCTTATTTTATGATAACGATATAATAATGAACTTCCCAGGAGTCGTTTTTATGGTTCTGCTCTTCACACATATCACTCAAGGATAGATGTTGACTTTTGCCCATTTAATTGTTTTCCTATTTCAACTAAAAAAGGGGGCACGATTTGCGTTCAAGATCTCCATGAATTCTAAAGCAATTATGAAGACAAACATGTTACTTTTATCATTGCGCTTAGATTGATCATCTAATATAGAAATTGTTAATTACATTTCCACCCCCCGAGCTTGCACATTTTCCGAAATGCCATTTGATTTTGATTTTATTTTGTGAAAACAATGGTATGTATTAGTAAGAGAAATGCTAGCGTTGTCAAATTGTTCACGCAGAAAGTGATAAAAAAAGTAATGTTAGTATTTCTCGTATTAATAAATTACATTTTTTCAACTTACAGATCTTTTTTTTTTTTTTAGCATGA